GCCTGGGAGTTTCGGCAGGGCTGTCCGGAACTGAAAGTGCAGCAAGCAAGTACAACCCAAACTGAAGTCGGTGGCATCCCACTTCACCCCAAACCCCAACCTCCATTCCCTCAAACGGGCAGCTCCGGTGCTGCCAGGGGAGCGAGCGAGGGACGGAGCCAAAGCGGTGAGAACTCCTGCCTGGGCTCCCGGAGTGACAGCCCGGGCTGTGGGGAAGCCGGGCCGGGCTCGGCGGGCCGGTGCCCTGCGGAGCGCTGTGCAGCGCCTCGGCCGGGGCCAGCGAGTGCGGAGCGTGACACGGCACGGGCTGCAGCCCCCGTACCTCCCGTACCCCCGTGCCTCAGGCGCAGCTGGCTTTTTTTTCTTTATTCTTACGATCAAGGGTCCCAAAGCAAACGCACCTGGTCGCAGAAGGCTGAAACGCTCTCGCTAGAAGTTTTGCTCAGAGTCATCTTAAAACCGCTGGGGCGAAAAGTCGCCTTAGAAAGCAAGTTCAGTGATGAGACTTTTTAGATCTCGCTGCAGAAAACAACAACAACAACAAAAAGGGAGAGGCCGAACCGGCCGCACCCTGTCCCGTCCTTTGAAAGGCAAGCGCTGCCCCGTCCCAGACTGCGGTTCACAAGCGCCCTTTCGGCAATCCATCCCTTTGCTTCCTCCAATACACCTTTAATATATATCGCGGTGGGGAAACCATGCAGACCTTGCCTGCGACCCCACAGAGTGCCACTTACTCCTTAAAAACTGTTCCCTCCCAAATCGCTTTTCCTTTCTCTTTTTAAAAACTTGCAGATCTACGGAGCTGCTCCGAGAAGAAAACCATGTATTGTCTGAACGGTTTGGTTGGTGACTAAAAGTGCTTTTGGGATTCCTTTAAGTGGATGTAATTTAAGAGATCACTTTTACTGCAACAGAGAATAGAAAATACACTAACACGCTTCTTTACAGGGTAAAAATAAGCGAGAGGAATTCGCTCAAAACATGGTAGGTATCCAATATAGAAAGATTTCTGATGGTAAGAGAAGGTGAAAAATCCCCACCAAACTCTGAGTCAACTTCCCTCTCGCTCTTTAAGATGTACGCACAATGAGTAAGACTATTCTAACTCCCATGGAGTTTAATTAATACACAACAGAGTTTCATGGAAACTTTCAAAACAATCTGCATCTGAAATGAATTTAAACAAATCTGCGTTTTCCTTGGGCATGTGCTTACGGATCGCTGGTTTGAGATGTCATTTGTCTGTTCTTCTGCCTTCCTTAAACAAACACTTTTGGAGAGGAAGTACAACAAAAACAACAAGAATTTTAAGAAACCTTAGGGTAAGAGACGGTGTTTGAAGCTATGAAAAGAGTGCATAAGCTGAAGCCCTGCTAGATGTTCTAACAGGGACAGAACAATGTGCTCTGAATGTTAGTATTAACTCTAATTAATTAATAGAGTTAAGCTAGTTATTTTCACCCCGTGAATTTCGTCGGTTGCTTCGTATCTACATATACAGGAACAAAAGACAACTTCTGGTCGGTACAGAAGTTTAACAATAGGGGCACCCCTATTAGGAGGGCACCTCTCCCACAAAAATAAAATAAAATAAAATAAAAGGTCCGTAATTATCAGCAGCAGTACTGAACGTTTTCTAACCATCAAATCCTAAATTAATTCTAGCACTCGGGCAGATGACCTTTACGGTCTGGGAAACCAACTTTTCTTATTAAAATGCTGTGCCATGCTTTTCCGTAGGGGTGAAAACTAAAACTAGCGGGGCGTTAACGAGGTCTGAAAGGAAAACGATATACCGGGACAAGAGGGAGGAAAACTTTGCCCTAGCCTATCTGATGAAAACTGCAACTTTTTCCCTGCTCAGTTCGGAGAAGTAATTGATTTCAGGGTGTTCAGCGAAGCCCGGGCTTTCCAGGGAGAAACGGAGTGAGACAAGGAAGGCGAAAACGGACCGGCTTTACAGCAAGTTGCTCTGAACCGTTTCCGAGTCCGTTTTCCTCAGCCAGCCCTCCGAGCGAAACCTATCCCCGCAGCTGCCTTCCCGCTGAGGTGTGCCTTCCAGGGAACGACCTGGGTCTCAGACGAGAGGAGTTGTTACCAAGGGGTTACCGCCTGCCTCCCTAAAACACTGGGAGCAGCCCAAAAGCAGCCCAAGGGAGGGAAGAGCAGGGCGTAGGATGCTTCTCACGGAGAGAGCGGTGCGGGCACCGACCGCGATTCCCCAGTTCGGAGCGTCCCTAGGCTGGCCCGGTGCGGGGAGAGGCGGAGGACAGGGTTTCAGGGACTGTGAGAAGGGGCACGATACGTACGGTTGTTGGGGTCACTGGTGTGCTGATTCAAGGGGATGATCTCCATGCGCTGCTGCCCGTACAGGTAGTAGTCCAGCTCCTCGGCCG